CTTTGGCCACAAAGACTTTCTGAGTCTTTCCTTGCCATAGATACTAGTTCATGCTTGATATCTGTTTATCCCTATAAGACCATCTTGACCATTAATAGGCTTCTGGTTAGGGCATTCTTCCCATCCTCCGAGCGGCATGGCACTCCACAAGGATCCACCAGTCTCCCGCCCAGCCTTACTTAGGACGGGCCACCGTTCGTGACCTACTGGGATTCGTCCAGAAGCTGGAGAAGCGACCCGTTTTTTAAGGAGGATTTTACGAGATCTTTGCCGGTCAGGCGTCGCTACAACTATCATAGTTCTCGGCTCCTCGCTTCTAATGCCTATCACCCAATCCGCCGAGTTCGGGTCTCACCATCGCACCCGCTCGCTCAACCTCATCGAGCAACTCATCACTCGACATTGGCCAAGTGCCCGCCTCGACCTCCCTCGCGCTTGCCCCCCTGTATTATAACCTAACGTACCTCATCTCGCATTCATGTTATCATAACTTTATCTTTATATTTGTTATATAGTTCTCTCAGCTTTCATTTTCTTGTTCCTTTTCTCGATCACCACCAACCATACCCACGCAGAATGATACTTGAGCGCGCACAGAATCCCTTAGTGTACCATATCCCAAGCACCATCAAATCCTACTTCGCATATGCAATCCCTCCAGTAGTCCCTATGCGCTATTAGTTAGATCGCGTCTTGGTTCCAGTAGTGTATCAGCGATTGGCAAATAAAGAATTATTACCAGACTACAACTGCTGCGTCATTTATATCACGTGCCTCGGAGACTAGAATTTGACTGAGCAACAATTTAATGACCCTTTTTGATGGCTGGTTGGAGACATGGGAGACGCAAAGTCCTACAGTCTCGGACATATGCGCAAAAGTGTATAGAAATAGAGTCGGTCAGAGACAAAAGCCGCTAACAGATTCACCACAGTCACTAATGGGAAGAAAAGGTGATTCGATTGAAGAAGCAACAAATTAAAGAACGAAGTCGATGAAAGAAGCGAGGTGAGGAGTCAAAGGTTGCGTTGTGGATTATACGAATGAAATGCGACTCTGGAATAATAAACGGGACATTGGGTGAGCCGTCACAGTAGGATCCGATAAAAGTCTTACCAGTTCGAATGAGTCTTCATGTAGTCAGCACCTTTTTCCATTCGACTTTGAAGTGCCTTGCACTTTCTGTCAACATGACAGAGTTTGTGTCGAATATCCAGCAATTGACTTTCCGGTGGAATTTTATCGTCCAACTGAATGTAAGCGAATATATTATACAAGGCTTTGGCAAACCCTTCCCATTGATATTTGGCCTCGCTGTCGAGAAAATACCACATCAGGCGGATAGTATTCCGAAGATCCCCAGCGCGAGTTGCAAATTTGCCGAGTATGCGAGTTTGTACACGATTGTAAAGGGTGAAGCCGTTGACACGGCGTAAAGTTAAAGAAATCCTTGAAACGAAATCTGGGTCTGAGTCGATTCCCCGCCAAGGCTCTTGATAGACCCGGATGACAAAGCCTGGATGCAAAAACGGCTAAGGATTATCAGTGACTGTATATGAAAGGAAGGTTTTGCCTCACCGATGGTACTGGGATAAGGGATTTAAAGGAACGAGGAAGGAATTGACCCCCCTGGCTGGTTACTGAGGGCATTCTTGAAGGGTGATAGACTATGAGGGTGTGACCAATGGGATACGTGGAAGAATGCCCTAACCAGAAGCCTATTAATGGTCAAGATGGTATTATAGGGATAAACAGATATCAAGCATGAACTAGTATCTATGGCAAGGAAAGACTCAGAAAGTCTTTGTGGCCAAAG